ATTCCTGATGAAATCCCGTGATGAAGTTCCAAGACTTATAAGACAATTCCATGAATTTGTTCTAACCCAATTTGATACCAGGATTAAAATCTTCAGATCTGACAATGCAAAAGAATACTTTGAGAAGAACCTATCCCGCTATCTCTCTGACATGGGGGTTATTCATCAAAGCTCCTGTGCTAGGACCCCAGAACAGAATGAAGTTGTTGAGAGGAAAAATAGGCATATTGTTGAAGTTGCAAGAAGTATCTTATTTGCCTCACATGTTCCTACAAAGTTTTGGGGTGATGCCGTTCTCACTGCTACCTACATTATAAACCGTATGCCATCCAGGGTTTTAGGGTTTAAGTCTCCCTTCAATCTCCTTCATCTGGACAAGGACCTTTTTCCTATTCCTCTTCGTGTCTTTGGCTGCACCTGTTATGTATTTGAACCAAAAGCCCATAAGTGTATCTTCCTTGGTTATTCCCCCACACAGAAGGGTTACTGTTGTTTTGATCCAAAGACTGGCACTCAGTATGTCTCAATGGACGTCACCTTTAATGAGTTTTCTCCCTTTTATGGTTCATCTCAGGAAGGACATTGTCCATAGGGGGAGGATTTGTCACAGGTGTTTGCTCTTCCTCTTCCTGTTCCAATTGAATCTTTTGACAAGTCTGCTTCTCCTTCAGATGAATCAAGGGCGGATAAGTCGTTCCATTCTCCCTGTCCCAGTGTTCTTCCTCCTTTACCTCCTCGTCCTATCATCTGTCACTTCCAGTCACAGATGAGACAACAGGTACTGTTTCAGCACCCTTGGAGTCATCCTTCCTTGACCTTGATATTCCCATTGCTGTTAGGAAAGGAAAAYGGAAGTGCACTGCTCACTGCATTTCCAAGCACCTTTCTTATAGGTTGCTTTCTCCCTCATACTTTGCCTATCTATCTTCTGTTGCTTCTAACCCTATTCCCAGGTCTGTGTCAGAAGCTCTTAATATTCCAGAATGGAGGGATGCTATGATGTCTGAAATTGATGCCCTACACAAGAATGACACATGGGAAATGGTTGATTTGCCTGAAGGGAAGGATCCAGTCGGTTGCAAGTGGGTCTTTACTATCAAATATCGAGCTGATGGCACCATTGAAAGGTACAAGGCCAGGCTGGTTGCAAAAGGCTATACACAAACATATGGGATTGATTATCTGGAGACCTTTGCACCTGTTGCCAAGATGACATCTGTGAGGGTTCTT